GGTAATGTCACTCATAAAATGGACCGACTTCACCGAAGTAGCAGATTCCCAGCTGTCATACTGTATATATTTAGATTTTGCTACAAATTTTTATTTTGGCTCAGTTCATTTTAAGTAGCTATATTGTGAGTAAAAATATATAATTAAAATAGATATAATCAGATTCATTGGCGCCTAATAAAGGACTCAAAAGGGGATCGGGAACAAAAAAGAAACGATCTGTCACAACTGATAAGAAATGTTAATACTGGTCTCTTAAAAAATAGAATCCATCCAGTGCTGCTAATGCAACAAATCCTCTGCTGTGCTACGTCTTAATTCATAACTCTGTCTAAAGCTGACATGTTTTCTTTGATACTGTGATCTCATCCAGTCTGAACTACAGCGCAATGTTTGAACGTCATCGGCACTTTCAAATAAATTCTACCTTTTGAGTTTTGACTTCTAGTCTTTGAAACAGCTTAAGACAACTTCCGTGTCAATTAGTGCCGGGAAAAATGTAATTCCAATTATGCTGATGGAATTCATACTTCCTGCAATTATTGTGTTCAAAGTGCATACATAACAGAGGCATCTTGTCATAACATACTGGCTTTGTCATTTGGCCATGCAGCAAAGGTTAATTACTGTAACTAATGTACTGCTCGTGTAACTTTGTAATGATATTTGGATAATTGCATTCTGCTCACTTAAGACAGACAGGTTATGGTGGGCATAATGGAGAATTAATTTAAGCGCTCAATTTGTGCTTGGATGGCTTTGTGTTGGCTTTCCACTCTTGATGTTTTTTTTTTATCAGCTTTCAGCAGCAGCTCCTGTCCTGGGAACATGATGTGCACCACATGACTGGAGAATGTTTTAAGTAAAAAAGTTTATATAAACCCTGTGCAGACAAATAAACAACTCTAATAGTTAAGGGAATAGGTCACCCACAAATTAGCATTTGTGAATCCCGTGTTGCCTTGCCTCGACGGTGAACAAAGAAAAAGAAAAGGTCTTGACAAATTGAAGTAGCTGTAAATGGGAGTCGCATTTAATCAACATCAAAAAGCTGTTTACAATCTCTCACACAACTCGTGCCGTATAATCCAAGTCTTATTTATCCATTCCTTTGCTCACTTCTTCCCAAACACTGAGAAAAACATGGGGTGATTAATTGATGCACAAATGGTCATTATGTGGGAGAAGTATTCCTTTAAAGCTATTTACAGATATCTCATCACATCTCGTCAGCTGAGGCCAGCACACTGAGGCTTCCTTGTGTCCCATTCGCAGTGTGTCACGACCAAAAATGGAACGTCGAAAACAAACTTCAGTGCTTTTATTTTTTTTAGTTTCAGCTGAGACTCACTGACATACAATGGCACATCATTTGAACGCAGTGTGTAAATGTCTTTATTTATGTAAAGGAAAACATTAGTGCTGGGCAACGGTTACAATTTTTAATCGCATGATTTTTCTATGATTAATCGCATCGTTATGTGCAAAATTCAATAATGAATTCAAAAGTAGTGTATTGCGCACTTTTATTTTAAAAGTACTGCTATATGAACAAAAGTGCAGTAACATTTGGTTTGCAAACACTTTAAACAAATAAGGTGCTTTTTAACAGCAGTATTCCCTTTACACAGTAGCAGTTAAAATATTTATTGTATATTATACAGTATATATTTTATGAAATCAACACAACAAAAAAAGCAATGTGTGTTGAAATAATATTCTATGAATAATTTAAGCCACTATAATGTAATCGAAAATCTTCCTCAGATTTGACTGCTTAGTTGTGGAAGTCCCAGATATCAGGAAACTAAACCAGGCAGTCTTGTCTGGTTCATAACAGCTCCGTGGATTTTATCGAGGTGTATTCACTGTGTCTAGCAAGCCACATGTCGGCTGTTTACTACAGCTGTATGAACACAAAATAAACAGATTTGGCTGTGATTTAACTGCAATAAACGGACAAAAAGGGACTCCAAAATAACTAAGTAATGATGCCGATTAAAAAGTCTGAATTCATGTTTAGTTAGTTGTCTCCGCAAGACGACAAGCTAATAACTTTTAAAATACTTGTTTTCTGAATGGAGCTCGGATCGATTGGTGCTAGGCTATGCTAACATTGTAGCAGCTCCATCAACACTCAAAATAACGTCATCTAGGCGTAAATACGGCAGCGTTTTTTCATTGTTTGTACCATATGGTTTATACACATAGTTTGGTCTGGTCTCCACTAATATGAGGTATTGTAAAGTTCTGGGTGAACACAGACAGATACAGTATTTGTTTCCTGATTCGACGTCGGTGATGACAGGGAGAGCATCTCAATGCTGATAGGCTATCGCGCCGCAGCGCCCACCCCAAATGCTCTCATTGGTTGAGACGCGTGATGACACCCAAGCCAATCCTGATCAACATCCCGCCCCTCCTGTGAGCCATGGTCTGTCTGTCTGTGTATACAGAGCCGGTGAGCAACGGACTTTCAAAATAATAATAATTTTTTAAAAAACTGCGTTAACGCGTGATAAAATAATTGTCGGCATTAATTAATGAATGCGTTAACTCGATAATAACGCGTTAACTAGCCCAGCACTAGAAAACATGTATTCAGGCACCAGGTGACAATTCAAAATATAAAATTATAATGGATTATAATGGAGTAAGTCTCTCAGACGTTTTGTATTGCTTTCTAATATTCTCACAGAGATTATCTTTTCTCATTTATTGTTATCTCTGCAAGTCAACACATGTGAGGGCATGATTTACTCTTCCATCCTCTTTTGTGTCTTTAAACTCTTTAAATGTGCATGTGACAAGTTCGGAAGGGCCGCAATGTATTGCTGTTTGAACCAGGACATGTCTCGCACCGGTCAACAAGCGATTCTGCTCCCCTCTCGCTCTGCGTTGGTTCATTCCAAAGATAATGCGAACTAGCGTGTATCTGTCCGTCTGTCCACGGCTAATCTCACATACTGCTGGACCCATTAGCCCTTCATGGTTGCGGTCTTTCACAATTTTTGGTAAAAGCTAATTTATTGACTGTTTCAAGCTTGATTTATACTTGCCGCATCCATGAGGGCCGCAATGTCCACATGGCCAAAGTGACATCACACCATTGGACACCCCTACGCAGGTTTTTGCCCCTTCTGTGCACATCCAACATTTTACACCTACGCGGATGGGCGGAGAAATTTGAAAATGTTGAGGAGCTTTGTGGATGTCTGTTTGCTGCGAAGAGAGACCCACACAGAGTATAAACGATGCAACATGTCCGTGCGATCGTCCTTGCGGAATGTATAACTGCTCATCGAATGCTGACTCCTCGCTCCTCTTAAAAGGCTGGTAGGGGCACCAAGTGATCAACAACTGTTTCAGTAGCCAAAGGCATTTACTGCAATTTGCTTGGCTATAAACAAGCCTAACCTAGTCGGTTGCAGGGGCCACATTTTGAGTATAAGGGAGCTGTGGAGGGACAATTGAGCGACACTCAGCTTCTTTGTTTGGGAGGGAAGAGGGAGACACACCTGATGGAGATCTGTGCTCTACCAAGTGCACTTTTGTAGTCTGTTTTACATCATTTCATAAAGAGAATTACCTTGAAATCTCAAATTTCTCAAAAAAACTATTGATCCCCGATAATACAACTCATCCGACCAAATCCAGTGCAACAGATTTGTGTATTGTGTAAATGGGCAAGTAAAACAGGTCAAGTCTAGTCTCAAAGGAACAGGCGAGAAGTGGATGAGATTTACCTCTGGCTTATTGGTCTATTCCTTTAAAACATTAAAGCATGTAGCTACCACCAGCAGTGGCTTAGCTTAGCATAAAGACTGGAAGCAGGGGGAAATAGCTAACCTGGTTCAGAATCTGCCTACCAGCATCTCTGAAGCACACTCATTAACACCTTAAGTTAAGGAGCAGTGTGTACCATTTAGAGGGATCTATTGGCAGAAATGGAATATAATATTAATATGAATTGATTGTATCTGCATACGGATGGGGTCCTCTTTACGGAGCCGGCCGCTATGTCTCTACAGTAACCCAGAATGGACAAACCAACCTGCTTCGGCTTCCCGACTGTGGACAGAAAACACAGGGAGGACAATGTAGTTTTGTTCTCCAGGGCCAGAAATCAGGGAGACCTCTGTTGGGGTTGAGGAGCTGCAGCATTTATTTCTGCACAAACTCTTCTGCTCTGCTGCCAACTCGTTCACCTGAAGTATGCTACTCTCTTACAACAGCTAAGAAAGGGCCATTTGTGTTTTGACACGTTTGCATCAGTCACCTTAGTTCTCATACACACTTGGCACACGGGAGAAGTATTAACTGGTTGAAATCTGCAACTGCACCGCGACGGCAAATCCTACACAAAGCACCTTTTAAAGAGAGTTGTAAGGTAACTATTGGCAACTTAGAGAAGGGATGAAGTGAAAAATGCCTTTCAAACCCTTTTAGACCACTTCCCTTGTAGTATTGTGCACCTCTTTAACAATATATGCACACAATCCAATAACTTTTTTCCTATAAAACAAAATGTAATGTGTGCTTAGTGCCAATCAATTTCAATAATATCTTGACATCATCCATCAATCAATCTATGAATTTAAGCACCAAGCAAGGTGTGTGTGGTGTATAAGAAGTGGACGTAGTCATTGTGACATCACCCATTGGTTTGTGGACTGCAGTTTTGAAGCCTTGAGTTCGCTATCTTGGATTACGGCCGTTGCCATGTTTGTCTGTTTTTTGCAACCAATGAACCGACGATGAACTATCGACTGAGACCATAAACTCATGTTTACAATGTTTACTAAGGTAATAAATCAAGTGAGAAGTCATTTTCTCATAGACTTCTATACAATCAGACTTCTTTATGCAACCAGAGGAGTCGTCTCCTGCTGGTCAGTAGAGATATTGCAAGATTTAAGACACTTCCGTATGTTATCTGAGCTGCAGTCAAAACAAAATATGACACTGTCTCACATTGACATGTGTTTTTTTTTTTGCAGCCTGCTTGAAAGATGGCATTCAAAATAGAGCAGCAGTGATCTGGACATAGCCACAGCAGGGATGAATCTGTCTGAGTCCTCCTACCAAGAGGAGTCGCTGCTGGGTAACTTCACCATGGCTTACTCCTACTACCACCAGAACTACACCCTCGTCCCCCCACTGCATCGAGACAAGACCAGCACTTCCAAACCTGCAGCATGCGAGCAGGTCCACATCGCTATAGAGGTAAACAATACGCATGGTACTGATCACCGAAATGTTTTTTTTTTTTTTATATTGTTTCATTTTCTTTAAATGTAATTTTCTGAACTTTGTTTAAATGGCAGACGTGGCATTATCTTATCAAATATGTGCTAATTTGCGTACATGTCCAAAACCAAAATCTGAACATTGAATAAAGACAGATTTAAAATTATTTTTTCATTTTGTTGACATATTAGAGTCAAAGGTTATAATAGAATGTTGGATATATCTCCGTATCACTCCTTAAATCAGAAAATACTGTCGACAGCCATAACAAATATACCAAATTTGGCCATGTTTTAGAACTAAATTGTTGTATAAATCAGGCTGTGAATCAATCAAGTTTTCTATAGGTTACAGTAAAATATGCAAATCAAGCATTATTTAATGGTAACTTCTGGTGCATTTGGGGTGAAATCTACAGACGCAAACAGACAAAGAAGTAAAATATACACCTAAATGGGTATTTGGGATGTTTTTTCTCTGCACTAGTCTGAAAGAATAAATGTTATGAAAGCTAAATAGCACAAAATCTCAACATTGACCAGTGCGTGAAAAAAAGAGATATCATTCTGTTTTTCAATACTCTATTGTGCTCTACTCTACTACATTATTGTCTGCTACACCCAATTACCTATTCACTATTACTACACCTTTCTACTGTAACTCTTACCTTGTTACTCTACATTGGTTCCCAACCTTTTTTGCCAGAAGAGTGACTTGGCCCTCTCGTAATGATTCTTTTTAATAGTTTCAAAGTTCTGATGTGTTAAAAAACAAAAACAACGCCCGGGTTGGGAAACATACTCCATTTCAGGCCACCCTACTATTCTGCTGATCTTCACTCTTCCAATTCTTCTCTCTTACACAGTATTCTGCTCTCCTCAGGTCTTTCTGATCCTGGGTATCATCTCCCTGCTGGAGAACATCCTGGTCATCACAGCCATAGTGAAGAACAAGAACCTCCACTCACCCATGTACTTCTTCATCTGCAGGTAAACGGTTCAGCTGTTGAACACACACCATGGAATATATAATGTAATAGACTCAAAACAATCTTAATAGAGTCCATGCTGTTACATGTTCCCATAAATATACCAGTGCAGGAGGATTGAACTAATCCTCATATGATTTGTACAATAACTTACTAGAAGTTATTTAGGTTTTTTTCGTGCGTTTTCCTACAAATGTCCAGCAACACAAGCGACTGGTGTATCTGCACAACCCTGCAGCCTTCAAGAAACAAAACTACTTGGTTAGGTTTAGGAAAAGATCATGGTTTGGGTTAAAATAACTACAGAAGTGGCTTCACTTTAGGAGAGAAATTTCTTGACAAATAAGTCAACATTGTCTTCTGGTTCTTTTTGCTTGTTGCTGTCCTGGCTCACGATTACGTGGATTACATATGAATTGATTACGTGGGTTATGTATACACATTATAGTGCATTATTTTTCAGAGTAGTAGCTACGAACAGTGCAGCAGTAGTTTATCAAACTTTTGCTATTCTTCAGTGTTTATCCTATAACTTGGTGTGATACTTCCAGTTGTAGTTATGCTGCGATATAATAAACCACAACTTCATTAAGGATTATGCCAGTGGCAGACTGTGCATTTTATACCTGGGCCTTCACTGCTGTCCTGCAGCTGAAAAACAGCTACGGTTATTATTTGTTTCGTGTAAAAATGAACCCAACACATATAGATACGCAAACTGCAGAGAATACATCAGGAGTGCGTCTCCTCTCTTCTCTGACTGCAGCTGAGACTGCTGCACGAGTTACCGCCTGTGAGAGCTTTGGGGCGGCGGAGGGGAGTTCACGACAGTAACTGTAGAACGGTAGTCCTTTAACGTCACAAAAGTCTCCAATAACACCAGAACAAGACGCTAGATTTGCCGCTAGTAGCTTTTGACAAAAAAAGTCGCCAAGAGGGTTTAGAAAGTCACCAGATTTAGCGAGAAATTCGCTAAATTGCCAACACTGGCACCGGCTAAATATGTCCCCAGGGCAACACTGGACGTAACAATGGTTCCTATCACATATTAAACCAAACAAAAATCCAATCTTCGTAAAAACAAGTTGTACAAATAATAATATATAAACAAGCATCTTAAAGCTACTGCAGATGTAAAAACAAACGCATTTAACTTACCAGAGCTGCTGTTCACTATTTAAAGACAAAGTCCATCCTCCTTTCTTTGTTAACAAAGAGTTTAATCTCACGGTTGTTCAGTACATCCGTGCGTTTTAGTTCCAGTAAGAAGTCCTTCTTGATTCATGGACGCCAGTGAAGACAGTCGAGCCTCCCCAGTTGTATTTCTTGAATACGTTTTAATGCGTTTGAGGCTGAAAATGTCCGCTCCACAGAGGCAGCAGATATTGGCATTGTCACCGCCCAACATGTCAGGCTAGCCCACTGACCAATCACGTACTTGTAGGCCAGCTAGCAGGCTCTGACACGTCAAAGAATATGTCCAACATGTCAAACTAAAGATCTGATTGGTTGAAGAATATGACAATCAACAATATCGTCCCCATTCACTTAAACTGCAAAGGGATGCACTTGTGAGTCTGCAGGCCTCGGGCCTCTCTTCTTACCTAGAGACACAGAGGTGAAATCTGATTGGATAAAAGCTCTACTTAAAACAAGCTGCACTGGAAGCAGAGCAACTGAGGAAGACAGTAGCTGTGCAATGAGGAAATAAGATAATGGGGAAAATATTTTTATAAATTATAATACATGTAGTGTATTTAAGAAAAATTATTAAATTATAAAATAGCTCTAACTTTGTGATTCTGTTTAGGCCAGCAGAGAAGGCTTTGCAGGCCCTGACGGCCCACCACTGGATGATGCCCAATGTATGAAAAACATAAAGGGAAATAATAAAGGCCTCAAGCACATCTGCAAGATAACTAATAATGCAGGTGACACCTTAAGGCCCTGATCATCTCATTTTATATTGTGTTTTCATATGTTTTATGCACATTTCTGAAGAAGAACTGAATGAAAGCATCACATATAAAAATTAAAAGTTAATTTACACAGTAAAGTTCAGAGGTGTCAAAGTGGGCTTATTTCTAAAAGTGAATATAATTTGCACATCTGGAGCTTGACAGAAACTGATTTTTTAAATATTGTGATGCAGGGTCTGTCTCTGCCTATTCATTTCACTTACAAAAATAGCACACAGTATGTGTTGCCAAAGGAAAGAAATGAATTCTGGTCATAAATCACAAATTAAAAGTTTGCTTTTCCTACACGTTGCTTTTCCTGTTTTATATACATGTGATTGTCCTGCAGACATTTGGATTCACCTGACGGGATTCAAACATGACTTGCACCTCAGTATTGACATCAACACCAGTCAGACTTAGTGTCCTCATAGTGGACACGTTCACTGGCAGGGCTCTATCTTTGAAAAGTTCTGAGATGTTTTCAACTAGAAGCGCAAGGAAGAGTCATGTACACACTCCTCAATGGGAGTCTCATGACGTGACAAATTTAATCCCCTGCTCAAAACCAAATCTAAAGAGTTTCATCTGACACGCCAGCAGCGGGTTCGGAGACAGAGCAGACATTCAGGTCACTGTAGATTTTTTTTCAACAAAGGTTATGCTTCCATTCATAAGTTTTTAATCATTGATTTCTCTGAGGCGACTAGAGTGTATCTCTACATGGAGTGACAGAGGAGAGAAAGAGAGGGTTTGCTATCTTACTCTATGTCACCATGACCTGCAATAAACCCACTGCCACAGCTCCATCAACAGTGAGCCAGTTGAGATGGTGGAGAGTATCTTGGAATCACCCTTGACAATGAACTCAGCTTCACACATCTCCAGCTGGAAGATTGCTGCATTCACTACAAGCTCTCTTAGCTTTTCTTGAGATATGTGTATGTGTGTGTGTGTGTGTGTGTATATATATATATATATATATACAGTTGTGTGAAAAAGTGTTTGTCCCCTTCCTGATTTCTTATTTTTTTGCATGTTTGTCACACTTAAATGTTTCAGATCATCAAACAAATTTAAATATTAGACAAAGATAACACAAGTAAACACAAAACGCAGTTTTTAAGTGAAGGTTTTTATTATTAAGGGGGAAAAAAAATCCAAACCTACATGGCCCTGTGTGAAAAAGTGATTGCCCCCTAAACCTAATAACTGGTTGGGCCACCCTTAGCAGCAACAACTGCAATCAAGCGTTTGCGATAACTGGCAATGAGTCTTTTACAGCGCTGTAGAGGAATTTTGGCCCACTCATCTTTGCAGAATTGTTGTAATTCAGCCACATTGGAGGGTTTTCGAGCATGAACCGCCTTTTTCAAGGTCATGCCACAGCATCTCAATCGGATTCAGGTCGGGACTTTGACTAGGCCATTCGAAAGTCTTCATTTTGTTTTTCTTAAGCCATTCAGAGGTGGACTTGCTGGTGTGTTTTGGATCATTGTCCTGCTGCAGAACCCAAGTGCGCTTCAGCTTGAGGTCACGAACAGATGGCCGGACATTCTCCTTCAGGATTTTTTGGTAGACAGCAGAATTCATGGTTCCATTTACCACAGCAAGTCTTCCAGGTCCTGAAGCAGCAAAACAGCCCCAGACCATCACACTACCACCACCATATTTTACTGTTGGTATGATGTTCCTTTTCTGAAATGCCGTGTTACTTTTACGCCAGATGTAATGGGACATACACCTTCCAAAAAGTTCAACTTTTGTCTCGTCAGTCCACAGAGTATTTTCCCAAAAGTCTTGGGGATCATCAAGATGTTTTCTGGCAAAACTGAGACGAGCCTTTATGTTCTTTTTGCTCAGCAGTGGTTTTCGTCTTGGAACTCTGCCATGCAGACCATTTTTGCCCAGTCTCTTTCTTATGGTGGAGTCATGAACACTGACCTTAATTGAGGCAAGTGAGGCCTGCAGTTCTTTGGATGTTGTTCTGGGGTCTTTTGTGACCTCTTGGATGAGTCGTCGCTGCGCTCTTGGGGTAATTTTGGTCGGCCGGCCACTCCTGGGAAGGTTCACCACTGTTCCATGTTTTCGCCATTTGTGGATAATGGCTCTCACTGTGGTTCGCTGGAGTCCCAAAGCTTTAGAAATGGCTTTGTAACCTTTTCCAGACTGATAGATCTCAATTACTTTGTTTCTCATTTGTTCCTGAATTTCTTTGGAT